CACGTTAGATCAGCACGCAGCGATGCTGCGCGGAAGTGCTTGCCAGAGGCTGGAGGCGCCAAGAGCTGGCCATGGATCAGCGACGCCACCCTCGAGCTGATTGCCTTTCGCGTGGAGGCGCGATTACGCGGCGACCACGAAACGACTGCGCGGCAGGATCAAAGCTGCTGTGAGTGGTGGCCGTAGCAAATAGCTCGACGAGATGTTGGCCCTTGGTGACTGGGCAGAGATCAGAAAGCTCAGGAAGGGCCCCCGGGCGCAACAAGGACGGATGCGAGACTCACGCGGCCAGCAAGTGGACAGCGACAAGAGATCCGAAATTTTGGCGGAGTATTTCCCCGCGGTTCAATGGGCCGCGCGGCCGACGACCATCGTCGACGACCCTTCCCCCATTGACCCGGCGCTGCCCGTTGAGCGCGGTCGAATCAGCGCTGGGGAGGTGCGCGAGGCAGCCCGCAAGCTCAAGCGGAATAGAGCCCCGGGTGGTGACAACATCCCGGCGGAATTCTGGAAGACGATTTGCGCGCCAGATTCCCCGGCAGTGGACTGGGCCGCGGCGTTATGCAACTGGCGCTTTGCCGAACAGTCCGTCCCCACGGCGTGGCGCGAAGCTCTGGTAGCAGCGATCTTCAAGAAGGGCGAGTTTGCGGATTGCGCCAACTACAGACCCATCTCTCTGCTACCGATTGGGCACAAACTCTACGCCATGATTTTGCTTGCTCGGCTAAAGGACGCAGGAGCAGGTCGTCGCACCTGGGACACGCAGTGCGGTTTCAGGAACGGCTGGGATGCATCAGACGCCTCGTTTCTGCCCGGGGGATGATCGATGCCACTTTTGGAGCCCCGCTCCGACCAGCTGATCTCCCTAGCGCTGGATTGGGCGACGCCCATCGACAGTGCGTTGCCAGAGGGTTCATTGCAAGCTCTACTCCGCTTCGGCATGCCAGCGCCATTTGCAGAATGTGCGCGGTCAAATTACGCGGATCGATCGTTCCCGGTGCGAGAGGCCGGGGCAGCTTGTCCGTGAGAGTGCGGTATCCCACAGGGCTGCCCGCTATCGCCGTATTTGTTTCCCATAGTAAGAACAATCTGGATGCGCGACGCCGCGGCGGTTTTCAGGTTGCAGGGATTGACGCAAGATGGGCAGCTCCTGGTCAGCGAGCTGATCTACGCGGACGACGCCCTCGCGGCGGGCACCAACGACGAGTTCGCGGGCGCGCCCGTGAATTGTGCCCAGGAGGCAGGGCAGCATTACGGATTGAGGTTTAACTGGAGCAAGATAGAGGCCCTGCCTGTTAGGTGCCACTCCGCGCTTACACAGCCCGGCTGCGAAGCTGCGCCGCGCAAGGAGAGCGCGGATTATTTGGGTGGCCTCCCATCTGCCAGCGGCGGGGGCGGCCCCGAGCTGAGCAGACGCTCGGGCATGGGAGCGGCAGATTTCAGCACGCTCTGCCAAGTTTGGTTTGGAAGCGCTGCGATATGCCAATGCGAAGGGAGGTGCGGATCTTTGAAACGCGCATTGCAATCAAAACCATGCACTGCTTGCGCGCGTCGTGGCTCAATATGGCCGAGACAAACAAGCTGGGCGCCCTTCAAGCACGGCGCCTCCGCAGAGTGGCTGGCATAGGGCATTCGTACGAGAGTCGCGTCGCTAATGAATCCGTGCGCGCCACCTGTGGCTGCGGCAAGGTGATCCTTTGCTGGCATGCAGACAGTTGGTCCTGATGGGAAACGTCGCCTGACAACCGGATGGTAGCGCAGCGAGGCGCTGCGCCATCGCGCCAGGGAGTTGCACCTTAGCCCGTCCACGGGGCGCCCGCATGCGCGGCTGGCCCAGAAACGCTTGGAACCGGTGTGTTTACGATTCGGCATGCCAAGCAGCTGGCGGACAACCAATTCTATAACAAGCACGGACTTGGTCTGCGCACGCGCGGCGCTTTTGCTTCGACGCGCCAGCGCGAGCATAGCCTCGCGCGTTTCTTTTCCAATGCACCCTGGACGTGCACGGCTTGCTCTGTCTGTCTCTCTCTCTCTCTCTCTCTCTCTCTCTCTCTCTCTCTCTCTCTCTCTCTCTTTCTCCCCGCGCGGGCGCGGGCCGCAAAACAGACCTGGTCTGCGAGCGCATGCCCAGGGGTGCAGTGCCAAGCGTCGGTTGGATCATTGCAACCTCCAGTGGACGTCGCCTAACGTCAGGCAGCCAGACTTTTCTGACCAGCCGCGGGCCGTTTCCATGGTGTTCGTGACCAGCCGGTGGCAAAGACTCCCGCGCGCAGCCTTGAATTCTTGGGGGCCTGGGCTGGCAGTAACGAAGCGGAGGGCGCCTGGATCGATGACCGCTTCATGGGCGAGACCGGTCACCGGCGCACGATGGGCAGGGAACGTGACCGCGAGGAAGAGTTTGACCGCGTGGATGGCGACAACGGCAAGGGCAAGCGCCCGAGGTCAATCTGGGCTTCCGCCAGGCGCCGATGAGTGGCGATGCGTAACCGTGCGATGTCTTCCCTACCCCATCCCAGTCCACTGTCTGTCGCGCGACTAACCATGAAAGTTCCACGTGGATGTGAGCACTCAGGTGGTTGCGACACATACGAGTAGAGCGGAGATCCCTCTCCGCCGGGTCGAGTTCACCATGCATGCGTTTCAATCCAGAACATTTTCCATTGTGTGTACAAATATAGAAATTTTATTGTTCGTGCCTCCGCACAGGGAGCTGTCACACATTTTGTGCTGTTAAACTAGATCAAGCCTTCACTGGCGATGTGCAAGCTTCTATGCAGTTGCATGTGGCCACTCCGACCTTGAGCATAAGGTTGACGGGGGGCGATCGGTGCAGGGCCCCAGGATACGGTGCAACTGCTGGCCTTTGGTTCAGCAGCTGTAACCGCCATCAAGCGGTGTGAGACACCTTTTTTATTTTGACGTTTGCCGCTCCTTGCTAAACAGGACCCCGATCCGTTTGTTAATTCAACTTGCACGAGGAAGGTGGAACGAACACGGAGGTGGCAGGAGCGAGGATGGAGCAGGGCGGATGAGGACGAGATGAGCATGAGGGCAAGGAGCACCAAGCTCAGGGGTAGCAGGGTGGCAGAAGTTCCGGGCGAGAGCTCCCGACAAGCCGCCAGCCGCGGTGCCATCCCCGATGGGCTCTGCGGCTCCGTCGGCCGCGGATTGACCTGCCGAGGCTGCTGGCGGTTCCTCGGCTTTTGGAGGACGCCCCTGTTGAGCGCTCCCGTCGGAGGAGGACAAGGTACCGATGCCGCTGCTCGTCTTGGGGGGCTCTCGTCGCCACGGCTTGAGTTGCATCGAAGTTTTGGTCAGAGAGTGCCTTGGGAGAGGTCTGAAGAGTAACTGTGCCGTTTGTTTTTCCTGTTGTGTCCACCCATCCACGGGGCCCCGGGGACCGTTACGCTGGATGAAGAGTTGGCTTTGTAGAAACCCCCAGGGACAAGAACCCGTTTCTCTCAGGTTTGTGTTTATGGCGAGGGGATCCAGGATCCAGTTGGGACGCCCGACGGCGAGTGCGGATTAGCAGAGTCCACTAATACAGATGGCCAAGCCTCCATCCATTCCAGAAGTGGTGATGTGGCGGACTTTTGTCGCCCGTGTCAACCGGCAGCCAAGATTCATGCGATTCGATATGCCAGACCTCGAACATTATTATACATTATCCGTAGCAAGTGCTTTCGCACCATGGTGTCGCTACACACCGCGGCACATTTTGGAGCCATCAACAACTATGCTGGCTACTCTCGGCGCCCGCGCGCCTGCTGCATTCAGATGGAGTTCCCAGCGCGCCATCTATCTGAAGATATCACCTCCGCGCGGGAGCTGCGTGTGCTGGACTGCCGCAAAGCAGGGCACCGGGAACAGGCCGCTCACTAGCGCCCGTGGTTACTGGTCGATCGCTTCTTGCGGGAGGAAAGCGCACGCTGCTCACACGCGACGCTATCTTCACGCATTCCACCTATTCGCGACGATTCGCCTGCCGCCGGTTGACAGCGGACACCTTGGCGTGTCCTGGGCGGATCGGCTTCAACAATATTGTGATGGTGATCGCAGCCGTTGTGCTATTCTGAATGCAGCATGCAATATCAGGCTGCTGTGCGACGCAGCTCCGCAAACTAAGTTGAGTGGTCCTCTGGAGTCGTGGACGCATCAGGGGGAGATGTGTAACGAACGCATGGTCTTCAATAGATGCCACCGAGATTCAGAAGGGAATCGTGTAATAGGACTGAGGCTTGTAATACTGGAGAGGGAAGTCCAAAGGAGAGTTGAGCACCAAGATCAATGCGAGAGCCTCAGAAACAATCCCGCGCCTCCTGGGTGGAAGGGAAGAACATCCAGGAGAGAGGCGGGAAACCTCTGGGATGGAAGTCGATTCTGAGCATCATAATGTCGTCGACGACGTTTGTTCGGCCACGGGGGCGGAGTGAAGGAGGAAGGGAGGGAGGGAGGAGGGAGCGGAGCACCGTGCAGGAGGGGGAAGAGTGTGGAGCCGGCTTGCGCCTTGTTGCTGCCTGATGCCGCCGCCGTGGTGGTCCTCCCCTGGAGAGGGGGAGGCGAGGCTGGGACGCCGCCTCCTCCTGTCCGCGCTCTTTGTCGTCCCTCTCTCCCCTCCCCGCCACGGCGTTGGAGTGGACCGGGGAGAAACACTGGCGGGCGATGGGGCCCGTCCTCCTCCTCCTCCTCCTCCTCCTCCTCCTTCTCCTCCTCCTCCTCCTCCTCCTCCTCCTCCTCCTCCTCCTCCCCTCTTCCTCCTCTTCCTCCTTCGTCCTCCTCCTTCGTCCTCCTCCCTCGTCCTCCTCCCTCCTCCTCCCTCCTCCTCCCTCGTCCTCCCTCCTCCTCCCCCCTCCTCCATCCTCGACCCTCCAGAGGAGGGGCAGGAGCAGGAGCAGGAGGAGAGGGAGAGGCCACGGGTGGCCCGCGGAGCTGCACCCGCCCGCCTCGTCGGCGTCATCCTCGCGGCGCCCGGCCTCCTGCGCCGTGGCCGCCGGTCCGAGGTGCCCCCGTCGTAGCTTGCTCGCTCGGCGAGTTTCACGGCCTCGCTCTCGCCGGGGCTCGAGCCACGCTGTGTTTTTGCGACGTTGCATTGGGTCGGGCCCGTCCCTCTACAGGAGGACTAGTCAAAAATAGTCAAAAAAAAAAGTCGGGGGACGATTTGTTCCTATGTTTTACCATTTGGGGAGTATGTTTGACGATTGCTTCTTTTTCATCCAAAAAACCCCTTCAGGAGGACAGGCCCGACTTAAAAACGTTGCATCCTGTGATCGGTTTCTTATTCGTTGTTGTGCTGATCGGCGGGGGCCCTCGCGCACCCTCCCCCCCCCTCTGGAGCAGATCTTGGCCGTTTCTGGCGCCTGTTTTAAGCAGACGGAGTCTCTCCCCAGTGGGACGCACCGTTGCAGACAGTCGCACCAAGAAGAGGTCCAGAAGCCAGACCCCCCCTTCCGCCCCTTGCTGAAACGCCGAATTAGAAAACGTTCACCTCCGGGGGATCTCGCCTGTCCCCAAAATTTGTATTTGTTGTGTGCCTTAGGAGGGGGCTCGATGCAGACTCGACGCGAACTTGGCGTGGATTCGGCGCAGATTCGGCACGGATTTGACACGGATCCGACGAGTCCGACATGGATTCGGCCCGGATTCGACGCGGACAGGGCCACGCCGGGACAGGCGAGTTCCCCCGAGGATGCAACATGACGTTTTGGCGGTTTCGTGCACCGTGTTCGTTCTGCTGTCGTTTCGGAGCAAGGGCAGAGCGACAGCGAAGCGAAAACGAAGAACGCTGCTCGGCTCGAGCCCTGGCTCTCACCGGCGACGGGACGGTGCTCGCGTGGGGCATGGAGCAGGGGCCCGAGCTCGCCCTGGGGTCGGACTAGGGGGCCACATGCGAACCCTACCCCTACACCCCACGATGTCTGAGGGGGAGGGTGGGGTTCACTTCGCCTCAGAAATCGTGGGGGGTAGGGGTAGGGTTCGCATGTGGCCCCCTATCGGACGAGCACCCTGAGCGCGGCCGCAGCTTGGTGCCCGAGCGGGTGGCCGTCAACCAGCCGGAGCCCCGCGGCCTGGATCTGCCGCGCAGGGTCCTGGAGGTGCAGGCGCCGAGGAGCGCCAACCACACCCATGACGAACGAACAACACACCCACACCCGTAGGGAGGTCGGGGGGAGGAATTGGCTATGGGGCATGGGTGCGGGCTGTCGGTCCCCTGGGGAGGCTCCCGTTTGAGCGAGGGCCCCCGTCCGACAACACGCACCCATAGCTCATTCCGTCCCCCCTATGGGTATAGGTGCGTGTTCATCGTTCGCCAACCCAGACCCCCTCGCGTCGTGAACAGAAGCACCCGGAAGTACTTCTTCCCCGCACTGGGCCCTTCACCTTCGCTGTGCCCCGGGCTGAGCCGGCGGCGGACATCCAGCGAGAAGCGGGCAAGAGCGGGGGGCGGGCAGGAAGCCGAAGAGGAGGATGTGAAAGCACAGTGAGCAGACGATGAGGTACTTTGAGCAGAATGTGAATGTGTGTGCGAACACCCATCAAAGGGCAGGGACAGATGACCAGACCCTTCGGAACAGGGGAGCCTTCTGAAACTGTCGGCCTCCAGGGGACCCTGGGAGGCCCAGTGGCCTCCCAAGAAGCGGCTCAGGATGAGGGGGTGGCTCTGGGGAAGGAGTCCGGATCTCTGGGGCTCTACGTTGTTAGAAGATCACAACGTGGGGGTTCTGGGTATACACCTGCGCCGCTCCTGGCCGGGCTCAGGATCGGTGTGCCATGTTTGCTTTCCTGGCCTGGCCACGGAGAGCACACGTTCACCGATCGTGGGCCCAGGGTGGGCCCGGCCAGGATGTCGCTGCAGAGGAGGGTCCGTGGAGATGGCGCCCGGTCCGCTCTCCATCGGTCCGCAGACCCCTCCCAGGGTCTATCCCGACCCGTTCTCCGAGGCGGACCCGCCCAGGGCGACGAGACTACAGGTGGGGTTCCAGGAGAGCCGCCAGGGAGGGCGTCTGCCGTCTGCACTGTCTGCTCCTCTTGCGGGCACGGCCCTGCGCCCTTCCAAGGCGGGGGGCTACCACAGCGCCGCCCGCACCGAGGACGGTCGTCTCTGGCTGTGGGGCAGCAACGACCGCGGTCATCAGGGGCAACGTTAGGGGGTGGATGGGCTCAGGGGCAGATGCGACTCCGTGCCCAGCGGCACGGTGGCAGATCTAGGAATGACCAAAGTTTGGGGCAACGACAGGGGGGGATAGGCATAGGGGGGATGCGTCGACCTCGACCTCCAGTCGCCCGTCCATCGCCGATAGGGGGGCGATAGCCCCACCCCGCCAAGGAACGCGAGGATTCGCTATCGGGGGCCTATGGCCGGTCAGTGGGCGAATTATCGGCGATCCCAGTTCGATGTGACCCCCCCCCTTCAGCAAGCAGTGACTAGGCATCCTGGCTGGCCCATAGGCCCGCCTAAGAACCTTCTGCGAACCTGTCCTTCTGAGACTGTCCTGTTTGTTTTACATCTGCTTCATCATCTAAGAACATTGCTTATGTTATTAGCACATGTTTGGTTCTACAAACATGCGTGGTAGACCTATAAGAGTGCGGCTGGTCGGTCCCTGCTCAACCTTAGCCGACCCCCCCCCCCACAGGTCCCTGAGCAGCGGGCGGCGTCAACAAGTTGATACGTGGCTTCGTTCGTCAGCAATCTATATGCGCCCGAGCTGCCGTGAGGATCCTACCAGCATGATGCAGCATATCAGAGTGATGGGGCTGAACCGAACGGTCATTTATTGTCGCTCGGTGCGTGGTTGAAGTGGAATTCCGCGAAGCGGATTATTGTTGTTGTTGGTGTTGTTCTTGTTGTTGTTGTTGGTGTTGATGCTGTTGTTGTCGGTGGTGTTGGTGTCGGTGTCGGTGTTGCTGTTGTTGGTGTTGTTGTTGAACCTTAATTACTAAACAATTATTATTGTTGGACCACCTATATTCGCCCTGGCGCTCTCGCCGAGGCGCCGGCCGCATTTCCTCTGAAATTGAGGCTCACGCTCAGGCGTTTTGGGGTTCCGCCAAAACCGGCCCCCCAACAACAACAACGCTCCGGCTCGAGACTTCCTCCTTTTTTACTCGGGCTCGGTGCTCTTGCTCGCCGCCGAGAGCGGCTCCCGGGCCGGACGCCCGGGTCGGCGCCCGAGCCGGCGCCCGGGCGCCGGAAAATCGAGTTCCGAGGCGGCGCCGAAAAAAGGCCATTCCAATACACATTTTTCTTTCGAAAATGCTGAATTTCTGCTTCCGGCGCCCGGGAGGCCGTCCGGGCCGATTCCGGAGCTCGGGCCGGCACCCGGCCCGGCTCCCGGGCCGGACGCCCGGGTCGGCGCCCGAGCCGGCGCCCGGGCGCCGGAAAATCGAGTTCCGAGGCGGCGCCGAAAAAAGGCCATTCCAATACACATTTTTCTTCGAAAATGCTGAATTTCTGCTTCCGGCGCCCGGGAGGCCGTCCGGGCCGATTCCGGAGCTCGGGCCGGCACCCGGGCCGGCACCCGGCCCGGCTCCCGGGCCGGACGCCCGGGTCGGCGCCCGAGCCGGCGCCCGGGCGCCAGAAAATCGAGTTTCGAGGCGGCGCCGAAAAAAGGCCATTCCAATACACATTTTTCTTTCGAAAATGCTGAATTTCTGCTTCCGGCGCCCGAGAGGCCGTCCGTGCCGATTCCGGAGCTCGGGCCGGCACCCGGCTCGGCTCCCGGGCCGGACGCCCGGGTCGGCGCCCGAGCCGGCGCCCGGGCGCCGGAAAATCGAGTTCCGAGGCGGCGCCGAAAAAAGGCCATTCCAATACACATTTTTCTTTCGAAAATGCTAAATTTCTGCTTCCGGCGCCCGGGAAGCCGTCCGGGCCGATTCCGGAGCTCGGGCCGGCACTTTGGTGATGGCGTTGACGTATGTTACATGCTGCATGTATGTTACTTCTTCTTACTTATATCTAGCATCTTCATCAAAACTAGTTTACTTATATCTTACTTATATGTAACTTATATCTAATTTATAAGTCCGATAAGTCTGCTTTTTCGTATGGAAAATGGGGGGCGGGGGCGCTTTCAAAAACGCGTCGGCGTCGCCATCGATCCGTGCAGCCTGCGGGGCCCCGCTCCCGTTCCCCTCCTCTCCGTCCCTCCTTTTCCCCAGGCGGGATGCCGCCAGGCGGGCTACCGCCGCGCGAACGTGATTTTTTACAACAGGCGGCCCACCGCCAGGCGGTGCACCGCCGCGCGCGCGCGTTTTACACCAGCGCGCGGACCGACCCGTCCTCGGCTCGGCGGGTGTACGCCGCAGGCGCCCGCGGGGCGTCCTCAGCAGCCAGCGCGCCGCATCCTATGGGGCGGCGGCGTAGTGGGCCATCCCATCCTCCTCGTCCCCCTCCTCCTCCTCCTCCTCCTCCTCCTCTCCTTCCTCGTCCCCCTCCTCCTCCCCTCCTCCTCGTCCCCCTGTTCCTCCTCCTCCCCCTCCCTCCCCTCCTCCCCCTCCCTCCTCCTTGCACAGCTCGGTCCTCCTCGTGGCCGCCACGCGGACTCCCCAGGCGCAGGCCGCGACGCCAGGTCCAGCGGCTCCACGATGAGGTAGGAGCGCCCCGCGGCCACCGCCACGCAGTGGACGTGGAACGCGGCGTCGCCCTCGAGCCACACGTCCCCGCTGCCGTAGACGAGGCCGCCGACAGCAGCTCGACGACAAGTGATGGCGCCGTGCCTGGATAGGCCCTGGTGCACGTGCGAGCCTCGGCGTTGCCCCGAGAGGCGCCCCCGCAGGCGCGCCCCCCGTGGAGGCTCGCGCGTGCACCAAAGCCCATTTGGCCCCAACCGCGCTGCCCGATGATCCCGTCGAGCTCAGGGGTCGGCCACCATTTGTGCGACTGGCGCGGCGCGGCCGAGGACTCGTGCAAGTACGTAGCCACAACTTGGGTGATCACATCCTTGTCCATGCCGCCCAAGCGGTCGTAGTGCTCCGCGGTGTCCTTGATGAGCTTGTGTTTTCGCTCGAGCACGAAACAGTCGAGCATCAACCCATCCTCCGCCGCCTGCACAGCTGCGTGCCAAAGATAATGATGCTTAGGCACGATCCACGCGTCCGTGTAGGCCCGCGCGTGTTTCCTTGGCGCCAACCCGACATGGCGCTTGAAATCAACATCGAACGTGTCTGGGCAGCCGCCGCGTTTCGCCGCCAGGTACAGTTCCATGACGGCATACATGGCCTCAAAGGACCGCGCCTGGGGCAGGAACGGCGCGTGATGCGGCAAGAAATCCACGTGCAGCCAGTTCCTGAGGAACGGCAGGACGGCGAGGCAGTCCGACGCGGAGCCGACGAAATGCCCTGCCTCGACGCAGGCTTTCTTCCTGGCAGGGGAGAAGAGATGCACGGGAGCTTTCCCTCCGCCGCGGCCTGGGGCCCAGCGCTGGAAATCGGTTCGCCACCGATCCCACACGTCTGGAATCACGCGCGCCACTGCTTTGTGCAGGCAGAACACCTCCACCTGGAACGTGCCTCCGCTCGCCAGGATGATGTGCATCGGGTCGCGCGTGTACATGTCCAGCGAGCAAACGCGTCGGAGTTCGACGTCGGCCATCAACGAGAACTCGTTCACAGTGATGCCGTGCGCGGATTGGAGATTCTGGAAGGCCACTGCACTCGCCGTGCGTTGAAGTTCCACGAGTTCGTCGTACCCCTTCGCGAACTCCTTGGCGGGAGCCGGCCGAGCGAACTCCGCTCGCGAATTCCAGGGAGTTCGCGAAGTCCGTTCGTGAACTCTCTGGACTCGCCGAGCGTCGGCCGCGCATTGCCCGCCCCCGACGCCTCCGCAGTCATCGGGTCGAACCTCGAGGCGTCGACGCAAGCGATACCCACCAGGTAACCAGACGGGTCCCAACGGCTGAGGGCGCCAGTCCCCTGGTCGAGCACGACGTTCTTGCAGTTGCAGCAGGGCCGCCAACCGCTGGAGCCCTTGTACGAGAAGGTGTCCTTGCCCGCGCTTTCGTCCATGATCAGCCTGTGGCACTTGAAATGCAACCGAGACGCGCCGACGTCGAAACCGCCGCCTCCTGGCCCGAGGAAGAGGCGCCGCAGGATGGCCCTC